CTCCGGGATCATGGCCCGACATAGCATGGCGGCATACGGCCCCGGTTTCTGCATGCTTTCCCGCAGCATGCGTTCTCTCTGGGTGTCCGGGATCCTCAGGAGGGTGATGTCGCTCATGACGCCCTGCTTTGAATTAGGGAGGGGAATGTTAGTATTGGGACTGCTTTACAGCCACGCGGTGGAGGGAGAGGGGCAGCATACAGGGATCTTTCCCTGGGACAGCCGCGAGGGGGTGGGACAGGGGCAGAGTTGATGCTGTCCTGATTGCTGGCAGCAGAGACTGGCATTGCTTTCAATGTGAAAGGAGGCCAGTGCTACTGCTGGAGTTTTAAGCAGCCACAAGTCTGCGGCTTACCATTATTGCCCGCTCCAGAAGTTCAGGTCTCCAGCCACAGTTCTCTGAACAGTCCAAGACCTCCGCAAGTCCACAGGCACTGAAGGCGACGGCCGAAAATTCGACCTTGTCCTGAGTGCGCATGTGAGAGGTGCAGTGCATGGTCTTGTTCACAGAGAAAGACTAGGTTCTTTGTATACAATTTCATTTATCTGTCTCAGGAATTCACTCCCTTTTTAAAATTCACACAGACACATCTGCGACTGTCTCCCAACCCAGCCTGTCAGCACACTCCCAGAGGCTAGCGCAGATTAGGCGGAGGAAGAAGAAGACGCGTGAAGACATGTTCTCAGAACTAATGGACTGCTCCCGAGCCCAGGCAGCCCAGCAGACACAGTGGAGGGAGAACTTGTCACAAATGCACCGAGCAGTCATGGAACGGGAGGAGAGGTGGCGTCAGGAGGACCAACAGGCTACTGAAAAGCTGCTTGGACTAATGAGGGAGCAAACGGACACGCTCCGGCGCCTTGTGGATGTTCTGCAAGACCGGAGGCAGGAGGACAGAGCCCCGCTGCAGTCTATCTGTAACCGCCCTCACCCGCCACCAAGTCCCACACCACCCTCACCCAAAGTCCAAAGAAGGAGGGGCGGCAAGGGCCGTTAAAACTTTCAGTCAACCCCTGCAGACTGCTCTAGCACTAGAAGGCTGACATTCCCCAAAATTTCATAAGTCCTTTCCCACCCACCTCACAGAAGCCCCCGTCCAAGTTTCACACCCCACGTTTCATGTCTGGTTCGCAATAAAATGTTTGTTTCTGTCCATTACTGTTTCAGTCAGGTTCTTTTGAGGGAGAGTCTGTCTGGAGGGGGGGAAGGGGCTTGGTAATTGGGCAGGACAGTGACCTTTAGCAGGGTACAGAGGCGGTGTCAGGTCCAGCATCAGGACACATACACAGTGCAGTCACTGGTTACCCTGGTCAGTCTGGGAGGTGTTTTTCATGTTCTCCATTGAAATAACCAGTCCACCAGTGCGGAGCCTGTCATTCCGGGAGTTTAGAAGCATCATTTGCATCAGAACACTGAACCCGCCCCCCGCCACAGTCTGCGTCCCCGGTTTAAAATATTCCCGCGAAAACAGCAATACAGACAACGCTGTTCATTAACAAAATCGAAATGATTTTATTTTTTGGGAAGGGGAAGGGGGTGAAGGGGGTATGTAACTGGAGAGGATAGTCAAAATGAACTGGGTAAAGAAACGGGGGCAGGTTCAGCTTCTCTGTCCACAAACTGAAAAGTCACTGGTTGCCCTGCTCACTCAGGAACCTAGCTTTCAAAGCCTCCCGGATGCACAGGGCGTCCCGCTGGGATCTTCTAATGGCCCGGCTGTCTGGCTGGACGTAATCAGCAGCCAGGCTATTTGCCTCTAGCTCCCACCCCGCCATAAAGGTCTCCCCCTTGCTCTCACATAGATTGTGGAGCACACAGCAAGCTGCAATAACGATGGGGATATTGGTTTCACTGAGATCACAGCGAGTGAGTAAGCTTCTCCATCTCCCTTTGAGACGGCCAAAAGCACACTCCACCACCATTCTGCACTTGCTGAGACGGTAGTTGAACAGTTCTTTTTCTGTGTCCAGGGCGCCAGTATAGGGCTTCATGAGCCAGGGCATTAGCGGGTAGGCTGGGTCCCCGAGGATGACTGTAGGCATCTCCACATCCCCAAGAGTTATTTTGTGGTCTGGGAAGTAAATACCTTCCTGCAGCCGTCTAAACAGACCAGAGTTCCTGAACACACGAGCGTCATGAACCTTGCCCGGCCATCCGACGTAGATGTTTGTAAACCGTCCCCGATGGTCCACCAGTGCTTGCAGCACCATTGAAAAGTAGCCCTTTCTATTGATGTACTGGCTGGCCTGGTGGTCCGGTCCCAGGATAGGGATGTGAGTCCCATCGATAGCCCCTCCGCAGTTTGGAAATCCCATCGCGGCAAAGCCATCTATGATGACCTGCGCGTTTCCCAGGGTCACAACCTTTGGGAGCAGTACCTTCACGATTGCCTTGGCTACTTGCATGACAACAACCCCCACGGTAGATTTGCCCACACCAAAGTGGTTCGCGACTGACCGGTAGCTGTCCGGCGTTGCAAGCTTCCAGAGGGCTATGGCCACTCGCTTCTGGACAGTGAGGGCTGCTCGCATGCGGGTGTCCTTGCGCTTCAGGGCAGGGGACAGCAACTCACAAAGTTCGAGGAAAGTCCCCTTCCGCATGCGAAAGTTTCGCAGCCACTGGGATTCATCCCAGACCTGAAGCACTATACGGTCCCACCAGTCCGTGCTTGTTTCCCGGGCCCAGAATCGCCGTTCAACAAAATCCACATGCCTCATTGCCACCGTGATGTCCTGGGCGCTGGGGCTCGTGGTTTCTGACAGCTCTGTGCCACTCTCCGACTTCAGGCTCTCACGGCGGTGCCGTAGCCTCCTCGCCCGATTTCTCTGCATCTGCCTCAGGGAAAGGTGTATGATAAGCTGCGAGGTGTTGAGAACGGCCACAAGTGCAGCGATGGTCGCAGCGTGATCCATGATCGCAGTGCTGTGGCGTCCGCGCTGTCACTGACCAGAAAAGTGCGCGAACTGATTTCCCGCCGGCGCTTTCATGGAGGGAGGGAGGGCGTTAGTGACGGACGGATGACGACAAATTTTTTTTACCCAGAAGGCATTGGCGGCTCGACCCAGAATTCCGATGGGCAGCGGGGACTGCGGGAACTGTGGGATAGCTGCCCACAGTGCACCGCTTCCAATATCGACGCTCGCCCCGTTAGTGTGGACTCACAAAGTCGAATTACTGTCCTTAGTGTGTCCTTAGTGTGGACACACACGTTCGACTTTGCAATATCGATTCCACATATTCGATTTAAGTAAAATCGAATTACCCTCGTAGTGTAGACATACCCTAAGACACTTGTAGCAACAACTTCTTAAAGGAAAACAAATGCAGAAACCACTATGTAACAAATAGAATAAAGTAGGAAGAATAGAGTCCCATTAAATAAAGTGAACTCATACTGTAATATACAGGGGAGTTTAATAGCATACTGATCATTGTGAAAATCAGACATTTCTGTAATTTTAATCTATTTAATATTGTGAATTAACACAGGCATAGGAACGCACACGAACTGAGTACCAAATTCATCTCCGTGTAAATGGGTGCAACTCCAGTGAAGGCAATCTGCTTTGTCTCTTTTCTACAGTTTTCATTTCCCCCTTATTTAGTTGTTAAGGACATTCAGTGTACCACTAAGTCATGGTGAATTGTTTGTACTCAAGTAACTAATATGAGAGGGGTTACGCTAATACCAAAGTTAAGCCTCTGAGCATTCCTATGTGATCTAGATGTGTCCAGATGCTTGAGCAGAGCCAGCTGAGCTCAGTGTTGGGGCATTGTATAAAAGTGCTGTCTTCTCTTCAGCCAGCCTTGTTGCTGGGTGCTTACCCTGTATAATATATGACTGTGAGAACATATGCTACAGCACACCCTGCCATCTCTGATAGGATTAGAAAATTCCCATTTTAGAACATTCCCTCAGTATGAATAGTTAGGATAAATAATAAACTCTTGGTTCCTGCATTACAAACAATGGTACCTTTACACTGAATAACACATTTCTCACACTGTAAGTCCCAGTTGGTTAACAGTTTTAAAGACTGAGGGCAGCAGGCATAATGCCCAACTCAGTAGATATTGAGGGTTTGAATTTGGATCTAGGTCTACGGCTGTGATATGTTCTAAGTCTGTTCTGAATAGACATATACGTAACTGTTCACCGCCCCAGATCAGTCAATGCTTTCTCTTCTGCCTGTGAATAACACTGGAGTCTTTGCCAGGTTTCAGATTTCATTACAAAAGTTGTACATAGCTCTGTTTATGATGATAAAGTGATTTCTATGTTGATCTGTCTCTGCTTCCGAGAAGAATCCCTGCAGATTTACAGCTAACACAGGTTCCCAAACTACTATACGAGTGGTTAGTAATGATGCTTAAGATGGTCCTCTGCAAAAGTTCCCCCCTATTTTTGTTCATTCCTCTAGTCTGTTCTAAATACAATTAAAATGCAGCATTCTTTAGGGATGGCTCAAAGTGCAATGAGCCAGTTTTTCAATGAGTACTTTAGTTGGCCTCCATTTGTACACATATACTTTACAAGCCCAATCACCTGCACAGATTATGGAATTTCTCCTCGAAAAACCAATTGTCCAAAGGGGCTTTGTTTTCTTCTTTTCTAGTGAAGCAAAAATACTCTCATGAACAACCCCGTATTTTTTTTCTTCTGCCCTAATGACAGCCCCCTTCTCCACAAGCACACACAATGCCTGATCTCACTGCTATATAAAATGCTCTTTCATATTAATCCTCCCCTGTCTCGAGGCTGGGATGGAATGTGAACACTAAAAGGATGAAATTAGGTATCTTAAATACCCATCTACTGCGAACACCACATTAATGCCCAGCAGTTAGGAATTTCAGCAAAACATCTTTCTGCAGGGTCTGCTAAGACCTGCAGCATATCTGATATGCAGAAAGACTAAGTGAATTACAATAAGATTGATTTAAAACAAGTTTTTCTTCACTAATCTCCTGGGTTATGTTTTTTTTCCCCCTCTTCTAGAGTTCCAGAACAGCTCGGTCTGAAGAAGACCGAGATACACTGTGGGATGCCTGGGGTTCATGGAGTGAATGTTCACGCACTTGTGGAGGAGGGGCTTCCTATTCACTCAGACGCTGCCTGAGCAGCAAGTAAGTTGATAAATGCTTTTATCTTAGCGGTGGGAGAACTCAACACGCTGACATATGTCACAGCATAAAGAGCAGTGGATGTGTTGGAACGTGCTGAAATTTCAGCCTCAGTGGAAGAAGGTTGCTTTTTTTTTTTTAATTCAGGCAACCAGCCAGCAGGTTTGATAGTCCACTATACCATTTAAAATATGAAATCCATAGAGGAACAAAAGTTTTCTGCACAGTTTTACCTAAGCATACTGTACCTTGCCAGCTATTGAAAAGTGAAACTCCCATGCACCATCTGTGTTTGAGTGGTAATCCTTTTCACACCCACATACTGAACTGGAGCTAATTCTCCAGGTTTAGCACCCTAAAACCTTTAGCAGCATAGAGATTGTAAATGCATCACATAGACACAAAATAATATATTGGGCTGTATAAGTGAGAATGATAACAGCTCTACAGATGGTATTCTTCAAATTTATCAGAGTTCCCTAAAAACAGATCATGCAATAAAGTCTCCTTCCATCACAGGCTATAATAAAATTACCAAATAGTTATGAGAGGCAGCATGTACTAGTAGTCAGGACACTTGGCTGAGAGATGGAAGAACTGGGTTCTATTTCTGCTACTGATATGCTGTGGGACCTTGGGGAAATCACTTAACCTATCTGTGCCTCAGTTTCCCATTCTGTAAAATGTAGATGAAAGCACTTTGTACTATTGATAAGCATTATTTCTGAAATATTTCTAGTAAGTATTATTTACATCTACTCAAGTCAGTATAGCCCTCATAAGCCAAGCCTATGTGATCAGTATAAATAGACATCTGCTAGAGAAGGGTATGAAGAAAAACTCCACATGTAACTTTTGTGGCTTAAAACTTCTCTCCGACACCTTTTATATTGTAGCACATGAACATAATATAATTTTCCATCCTGCATATGTTTACTTTCATGTACCGATGAAATTAAAACGTAATAAAACAAATCAAGAAAAGCATTCTCTGAAAGTGTTGCATAGGTCTGATATTACAACACATAACACTGCTTAGCAAAGACATGAGATGGCATAAGACATTGCATCACAAGACAAAAATAAAACATTGTGTGTTTTAGCATCAGATCTAGACAGCACAGAGACTAGAGTTGACTCTCCTGGTACCTGTAATTACTAGGCTGATGCGTAGAGTGCTCTGTTTGATAAGTGAGTGTCCCATGAAGTCAAAAAGAGAACTGTATATTTCCATTCCTTCCCTGGGTAAAACTGCCAGCGGATTGTTCTGCTTCTATACTGAGAGCCAAATTCTTGTCCCTGTGCAAAGCCTCAGCACACAGGCTCAGGAGACCCACTCAGGAGATATCAGGATGGGAACCTTCTCTACCCAACCATACTTCAGAGTCATAGAGTGGCTCTCACGCATGCAAGACATCAAGCATGCTATTGAGTCCAGCTTAAGGTAGCATCTGTTACACGCCACATGCCCCTTATGTGGGGATTGATGTCTGGCAAGAGGATCTGTGTAATGTCTGGGCTTCCTGGCCACACCTGTGTCCCCCGCCCCACCCAACTACCTTCAGTGTTGTGATAGAGGGAGGAGCAGTGATCAATGTTCCATAGTGCACAAGGATGTGTGGAATCCACCTATGCAGCCTCCTGTCCCCACATGCAACAGAACCACAGTGGATCTGCTGCTATTTAGGTCCTTGTGTTTAAATAAGGAGAAGGAAGAAGGCAGAGTCAGAGAGTGTCTATGGAATAAACTCATAAATCAGTTCCATTGTTGGTCTTTAATACAGTAGGTTTTCACTGCCCCATTCACACAGAATCAATTCTTCCTGCCTTATGAAACCAGATGAGAGCTTGTGTCCAATCAGAGATTGATCTCCATATTTTTAATGTGGAATGCAGGGGGTTATTACGTGCACAACTTCTGCTAGCCGGTAACAATAAATTGTAAACAGTAAAATTTGACCCAGAATTAGCACTGTCATAAATGTAGAACTGTTTTTCCTTTTTTTCTGGTTTGTATGCAGTCCAAATTTTAAAAGTGTTAAATGATTAATTTTTGTGCCGGGCAAGCATTTTACAATTTATAAAAAAATAAGCCGGTGGGGTGTAAGGGAGGGAGGAAAGAAACACACCCGAACATTCGGGATTTTGAAATAAACCTAAATACTTGACAGCTGAAAACCTGGCAAGACTATATGAAGAAATACCTGAGGGTATATGTGTGGGACAGTTCATTGCTTGATACATTTGATCACATTACAGAAATGTATATGCTATATAGAATTGTACAACAAATAAAATGAAAAGGAGGAAGCTAGAATTTTTTATACAAATTAAAAATTGGCAAGTTAGCTCAATGTTGTGGAACAAACCAACCCACAAAGCAAACCTACAGATTTCGTCTCCTGTGAGGAATGTTCATGGTATGTGATGGCTCCCAGAATGGTAAGGGAAAACAGAGAGGGAGCCCATCTTTTCAGCTCTGAAGCTATGCAAAGAATACTTGCTCCATTTCTAAACGAAATGCAGCTGACTAACTGAAATCAATTTCTTTCCAACCTGCAGTTGCCGATGTTCTGATTAGTATCACAGTGCTCCTGCCCTTTGTTAGGTTCAGTACTGTTTTGTTGTTAAGCCTTTGTGGCAATTGTGCAAGAATGAAGTGTTAGCTTGAAATTCTGTTTTCAGATCCCCATGGAAGATCCTAACTCTGACATTCTGATGCTCTTACGTTCAGCAAACTTCAATTAACGTCAGTGTTTGCATAAGTCAATAAAATAACATAATGGGTATGTAGGACTTAATTCTCCTCTCTGAGCTGCATGGTTTATCTCCAAACTAATATTCTGTGCAAAGCTACTTTTGATACCAGTGGGATATAAATACACGTACTATAGGAGGAGCAGAATATTGGAGTTGAGCTCTGGTGTAAGGTTTTTGGTCGTTAAGTAAGAGATAATTAATTAGTAATGCAGCCAATTCCTTTTGAAAATGTGGTTTTAAATATAATGGCTAAATTCTGGTCTCCGTTATATGGTTACAACCCTTAGTGAAGTCAGTGGGGCTTGCACATGTGTAAATGAGACAAGAGTTTGGCCAAATATATATTATTATATTACTGCATATTGCATGAGAAGAAAAGAGAGGGAAAATAATATCCACAAAAACAAAAGGGCTATTCTGTACTGCTTCTAACAGTTCTTACAAAATGCAAAGGAGAAATCATGAGAGAAGCTGTGGATTTTGATCTCGCTGTCACCCCCACACACACATGTATTTTGCATGTACAGTACATTTAAGATGTGGGACCCAGTTATGTGATCCTTATTTGCATGTGGTCCAGTGGACAGTCCATTGGGCTGCGAGTCAGGGGAGCTGTGTTCTGATCTTGGCTCTCCGACTTTTGGGCAAGTCACTTTGCCTCTCTGTGTCTGTTTCCTCTCCCACACGTTCAGGCTTGTCTTTTAGACGATAAATTCTTCAGGGCGGGAACTGTCATACAGTGCATGTATGGACAGTGCATAGCACAAGGGGTCCTGATCTCATTTGGGGACTACAGGAACTATTGTAATACCAATAATAAAATAACTAAATTAGGAACACAGGCATTGTCAGACTGGTACAGACCCGAGGTTCCTCCAGTCCAGTATACTGTCTTTGATAGTGGCCAGCACCAGATGCCTCAGATGAAGATTAGGATGCGGTTTTTAATCCATTCAAATATTCTTTGTTAGCATTAATTTTTATAACTTTGGATATTCATGTTCTCTGTATAAATGTCTAATACCTCTTTGAATCTTACTAAGTTATTTGCCTCAACGATGCCCTGTAGCAGTGAGTTCCACAGTCTAATTTTATATGGAGTGAAAAAGTCGTTCCTTTTTTTTAGTTTTGAATTTGCTATCTTTTCAGTTTCATTGAATGTCCCCTTATTCTTGTGCTGGGAGACAGGGAGAACAGACGCTCCCAACCTGCCTTCTCTATACTGTGACTTGCCATTTGATTAGTAGTTTTATCATAAAAAAATAAGACATCACAATATTAAAATCCATGAGCTATGGAGAAGATATGACACATTCTCTAGATCTCGTTCTTGAGACTTAAAGTAAAGAGGATAGGTGAGGCACCCTGTATGCTAACAAAACGCCACAAATTGCAGTGTGGTGGCACAAGGCAGTATCAGCAATGGAGACCTGATGTAGGGAGATTCCACACACCCTGGCACTGTGGGGATGATCTTCATGCAGTATCTCTACAGGTTTCCTTGAGAGGGGGATTAAGATTATGCTGCAACATGGCAGCCCTGGGAATGTCCAGTGGGTCTCCACATTACATGCATCCACTGATCTAAAATTCTCAGGTATGGGAGAGCAGCAGGTCACATCTGCTACTCCTTCCTATGCCTTGTAGTAGCAACCATGGCACTGCTTTCACACAGACAAAATTTGTATTAGCTGCTAAATACTGTGTTTATGGGAGCCCTAGAAATACATAGATAGACCAGATAGAAAAGCCCTTATACATGGGCTTGGCTCCATTCCCCAGGATCTAGCCTTTATTTATTGCCTACTATAGGAACTGAAGCTATTTCAACACCCAACTGGAATGAAAATAACATTATATCCTTCAGCTTTGTGACTGATAGAATAAGTGTACGTTGCAATCAAGTAAAGAATATTCCCAGCACGTGTGTTGATGCAAGTGGATTTGCACAGAAAAATAAGTGGCTGGGAACTCTTCGTATATTTCAAATCTATTTTGAGTCCAACTTTCATTGGAAATATTTTACAATTGCAAAGAGCTGTTACATCAGTTCTGCTAATCTAAATTCACCCCACCCTAATCCTATAAATACACAGGGAGCTCGGGAATTGAAGTTTGCATGTTAACAAGTGTTGCCATAATATTAAAATTATTCTACTGCTTCTGGTCTTGGCTGGAAGGTAAATGTGATTTTTCCCTCCCTATAATCTTCCAGATTCTTCATGAAGTTATAATAAGGAAGG